TCACAATTAATTACAAAATGACAATCGTGAAAAAGCATAAAACGTTTAGCAAAAAGAAAACAAGACTCAATTCGAAGTCAGTGATGAAATAAAATAAGTAATAACCGCCGGATTCATTCGATTATCTGTTCCTCGTGTTATTATTCGCGTATAGATAATTTAATGAAATAATAGGCTTAACTTTTAATCTTACGAGGGCATTATCGCAACTACACGTATAATCCGCCGTTTGAATTCATATTGGACTCACAAGGAGGTTCTGGTAACACTACAAAAATTCTATATGGATTCGTGCCAGTGAGTTTCAGAAGTCGAGTTATGACCGTTTTATTGAATTTTCGATCCATTTTTAGGTATTCACTGGAAAATCTAATAATGAAATTTTCCGGGTTGTGGGTGTTGGAGTCTTCTTTTCACCCATACACTCAATATTTGAATAAGTTGGTATATTTATCTTTTAACACTTATTTTCGTCCAGAGTAGAATTTACTGTCACAGGCATGTCATAAAAATTGAGTTTACTTCGAAAATCAATATTTCAACAAAGGAATATTCTTTTCAGCTAAAATTTTCAAGTCATTCCAATGATCATTAGACTTACCTAAAGGCAATATTGCAGATCGAAATGTCATTATTTGGTTTTCTAGTAAATACCAAAAAATGGATCGTAAATTTGGTAAAACGGTTATATTTTTGAAAAAACAATGTCGAACGATAAAGCAATAAAGAGAAAGAATGAGAAAATCATGACTATTTTTCCTGTGTATAAACTTTTCGTTAATAAAGTATCATATTAAGCTGAAACTTTTTGTAATAATTGAGGGTGTCTAGTTACACAAGAAAAGAAATTTTAACTTCAAATCTCGTTCTTAGTTAGAGCTAGGACAATTTTACTGTATGGATAATACCTTTTTTGGCACTATCGCACCTCTAGTGGCGTTCAGCCGACTTGGTTGATAAGTTTTGTTCTTTTTTCTTTATTTAATAGAAGACTAGGCTCTGGTAACTTTTTTTCTTTGATTTTCTTCTTTCCGTACATCTTGAGACATCCATTAACTCAAAAAATCCTCTGTAAGGCTGAGAGATCTTATGAAAACAAAACGAAATTCAGATAAAATTTTGTTCGAAGAAAAACGTTGTTTTTTTTGCTTTAGTGAAGGTCGTTTTTTGGAAAAAATTAGCTTTTAAAAACCAAAAATATTGTGTTTGATCTCTTACTGCGATAGAATGCCGCCGAAGCAGCATTACCAAACAACTGCTGTAACGTTACTTTTTGGAAAAATGATTCTTTAGACGGAAAATCGTCTTTTCTCGCAAAGAGCTCGTTTTTAACAGAGGCATGATTTAAAGTCATAATGATTATTAAAGTACATATCGGACTATCTAGCCATATCTTTTCTAAAAATTATTTTTCTCAATGTAATGAAGAATTGCGTCAAAAATAAGCTTGATTCAATAAGGAAGCTGAACAAATAGTTACAAAAAATGATCAAGAACGTGAACGACGAGAGAACGCGATCGTCATTAACGTGAAAAAGATGATCAAACAGATCCACCAACTACTTCAAGTAACTCTTTTATTTTTGTTGAATTCTTCTCGTTTACATTGATTTTTTTGACTTTTTTAGATGCTGACGAAGAACGTGAACAACCAGCTGTCAAGGGACGATATCTTGGCATTGCTAGAGTAAATTATTTTTTTTCTTTCAAATCAAAGTTTTTTTTTAACTCTTCTTTATTTTCTGTACAAAAAAATGTAAAGTTCGTCGTTTAAATGATCGAAAATTTGTATTTGATAGAGATGTTGGTGAAGATACAGCTGTTGATTATAATCGAATCTGTAAAGAAAAATATCAAATACATTTTTTTTGATCGTGGTCATATAGCTAGTATTGATGTTAATAAACAAAAAAAAACAGATTAATCGAAATTTTATGGTAATCTACTTGAAACACGACATACACAAGGAGAAAAAGATCAACCAACGTAAGTTATATTAAAAAAATAACAGTTTTAGTCATTCGTTACTTTTTAGAGATCGTCTATAAACCTGATTGAGATTGGCGTATTTTCAAAGGAGCTTATAATATAACAATCAAATGTGGAAATATTTCACATTCATTATGATCATGGAATGAAGCTGGACTTGAAAAGAGCATTCTTAATGTTATCAAAACTGTTGGTTATAAGGTAACCTTAGTTTTCTTAAATGAACAAAAAAACTGTTTTGTGGAACTCACATATAATATTCAAGAAAATAGTAAGTGTAAGTTGAAATCGAGGTTTGTTGCGGCTCCCTTCCCTAGACTCTAGCATTCGGGTTCAAATGTCAGAGACCAATGAGTATGTTTTTTCTAGTAACGACAGGAGGGAGGAGGCAGCGATCATTTGGTACGTTTCCATAGGAACCAAGAACAATAGAATTTAGGCTTTTCCCACAATTTCTTAGCAACGAAAAAGTCATTGAATCCCATTAACAACAAGATTTACACTGTTCTAGAACATTTCAAAGCCTTCGTCGAATTTTCAATGGGTAGAATATGCTTGTGAATGTTCTAAATAGTGTAGTTTTTTATTTTTTATACAGATAAAAATTCATATTCAACATTGATCGATTATCCTTGGAAAACAACAATAATCTATTAGAGACTTTTCAATTAACCTTTTTTGTATTAGTATAACACAGCTAAAGAACACATATGAGTTCCACATTTTAGTCCAAAGAAGCTGCGCTGATAAGGTTTTTTTTTATAGAAACTAACATCAATTCAACGACAAGCTATTCCAATTGGTTTACAAAATCGAGATGTGATTGATATTGTAGAAATTGGCTCTGGTAAAACAGCAGGTAAATTAATTCTTGTTGATTTGTTTTTTTTTAATCGATGTTTTTTGTGTTTATTTAGTATTTCTTTTTCCTTTACTTGCTTGGATCCGATCATTATCAACTGTTGATAGGTAAGATGATTTTCTTATTATAATGAAATAAATGAAAATTTTTTGTTTTTTGAAGATGCATAACAGCTTGAAGAAGAAGCAGGTAAATTCGGAAAAGTACGAATTTCATATTTGCTCAAATGTATACATGGAATAGTTTTTGTGGATATTTAGCCATTAAATATAACTGTCGTCTCAGTTATTGGTAGTTTATCTCGTGAAGAACAAGGTTTTAAACTTCATCTTGGCTATCAGTGTTATCGGTATATCAGGTGGTCTTATTGATATACTTGAAAATCATTATTTAACATCACAACAATGTACTTATGTTGTTATGGATGAAGCTGATTGAATGATTGGTAAGAAAAATTTCACTATATTTATCTATTGATTTTTATTAGTTTTTTCTTATCATAGATATGGATTTTGAAGCTGATGTTAAATATATTTTTGAATATTGCCAGTCACAAATCGAAAACCAGATAATTAAGTCGTAGAAGAAACAAGATAAGAAACAAAAATTTTTTTTCTTTCTTTTATATTAAGAGATTTTGCTTCAAAAGATAAATATCATCAAACAGTGATGCTTACAGTCACAATGACACCAGTTATTGAGCGTTTAGCACGTACATATGTTTGTCGTTGTTCAGCATCTGTTTATGTTAGATCAATTGGTAATCTAATTGAATGTGTTGAACAAATTATTATTTTCGAATTTTTTTTGTTTATTTCTATTAGAGTGGAAAAGGTCAAGAAAGTCAGGATTTAGCTTTTAGCTCAATTAAAACAAACTCAAAAAGATATTCTTGTCGCAACAGATGTTGCTGATCGCGGTGTTGATTTAAAAGATGTTTCACTTGTATTAAATTATAATATGGCTAAGATAATTCAAGATAAAAGAAAAAAAGCTTTCATAAAAAAGGAAATGAATATGATTTGAATTATTTGAGATTATATGCATCATATTGGTCGTACAAGCAAAGCAATAGTATTTTTAACAAAAGAAGATTCAGCTGTATTTTATAAATTAAAAGAAGTTATACTTGAATTATCTGTATCACAATGTCTACCTGAATTACTTAATCATCCTAATAGACAACATAAACTTGATTTGATATTTTATTATTTATTTTTTCATTAAAATTATGTGTTTGCTTAAATAAAAAAGACTTTATTTCTTGTATTTGTGTCTCGTTTTTTTTTATCTTATTATTGTGCATTATTAATAAAGAAGTATCTAATAAAAAATAAAATAATGACTTATTATGTGTTTACTTATTTCATGAAAACGAAAAAGTTTTTTTTCTTTCTATTGGATGACGTTTGTTACTACGACAAAAATGTTCGTGCTGCACAATCACATGTCAAAACAAATCTTGTATTGGTTTCCTTTTTTGTGCTAAAAATTCTATTCAGATTGATGTGCTTGTTCTGAAGTAAACAATGATAAACAATTTTGTACATATTTGACCGAAATCTGTAATGATTCTAATAATCATGATTTACGGAATATTATTGATACACAATGTTTAAAACAAGTTATTCGAATATTTTCGAAATTTGACATCAACATATTATTTATTCTCTACTCGATCTGATTGAAAAAGATCGATAAACAAATAAGTTAATAATAATGATAATATTACAAGTAAATAACACAAATGTTTCTTCTTTACTTATTCTGTTTTTTTTTTAATCATAGTTCATCATATTATTCCAAAATTAATTCTTAAACGAACGAAAAATTCTAATAAACAATCTGTTGATGTATCGAAATACTTAATGGAAGTATATCGATTACGCCATTATGAATTAGTAAAAGATTATCAAACAGTTGATATGATACTTGATGTTTCTGCTGTTCAACCATATTTTGATTGAAAATGAAGATGAGAACGAACGGTATAATTAAATAAAAATTTTCATTATTCATTTTTATACTTTTTGTCTTTCGTATTCTGCATAGAGTTGTATATGAATTGTATAAGATTCTTTTTTACAAAATCAAAATTTAGTTTTCATAATAGTGAAAGTAAATCTTTTGCTTTTATACAAATTGACAACAAGAAAAATATATATTAATGCATCGACTTCTTCGATATAACATCGGATGAACGATCTGTCTCAACTGGCATTTGATAGGCATGATATAAAACTTTGAATTCTTATGTAAAGATGTTCGATAATTTCCGTTACTTAAGAATGTTGAACAGATCGAGAATCGGTCTCTCTAGAACTTCAAGTGCGTAGAAGAGATGCAATTAAGGTGACCATATTCATTTTTGAAACAGAATATGAAAAAATAGTTAAGTCAATTCATACGCTATACACTAGAGTTAACACCTGTGTGTTTCTCCAGCAAAGAGAAATATATATATATTCTTTACTTATTTTTTCCTTAATGCAATAAGAGTTAAATGAACATTATCTCACGATTAATCGAACTCTCTTAAATGAATATGACTCTACTTTGTTTATAAAATGAAAATTCTATGTTAACAATTACAGATGTCAATTTCTTTGAATGAAGAATACAACAATCAAGGGGAAACAAAAGAGATTTCATTCTCTTACATCTATGTGACAACCAGAATCTCCATTTATGCAAGCCATGACCTCGAAACCTTTCAGAGTTTTCTTAGTCTCGTTAAGTCCTACTCATAGTCTCAAATATGAGTTCGAACGATGTCCGACAATTGTCATATATATTATTTCGTTCATCTCTACATCATAATAATTTATTTCGAAAAATTTAAGTACGAGAAAACGAAATCGAGTTGTGCAATCTCCATTGAATATGTTTCAAAAAAACATTTAATATTGAAAATAAACTGAAAAATCATTGTAATTTCATACTTTCAAAAACATACAACTAATATATTTATTTGTCTTTAATTGTTCTAGAATTGATTGACATTGTTATATTATTCTAATAATATGAAGATATGCTAAACTAATTATTAAAATCTTTGAAATCATTTATATCCAAAATTAACATATATTAATAATAGTTTACTGATACAATTAAAACATATTATACTCAAATAGTTGCATAGAAAATTTCTTATTGCAAGAAAATATAATGACATAGATGTTGAATTTTGGCTTCCTTCTACATGATTTTGACTATTGTGTACCTAATACCAGCATCAAAACCGTATAGAAGGAAGCCAAAATTCATACTCTCATGGTACGCAACAGAATTTGATAATATATACATCATTGGATAGAGAAAGTCTTCCTCTACAAACCTACACATATCTCATTCTGTAGTCAAAAATTACTATGAAACTTATAGTCGCCTTTAGGAAACTAGCCGAAGTACCGAGCGTTGCTCGAAGAAATTTAAGATTTCATTTACGAGAAATTGAAAAATGAATAACCTTATGATTTATTATAAGTCACCGATTGTGGATGTCACACAAAATGCGCTCAGAACCCTGTATGTTTTTAACGTTTTCGACATTTCTAAATTTCAAATTTTGTCTCGTGAAATCAAATATCTTCAATATTTTTTCTGCAGAAATGATAAAAGTATGTCTTGAAAAGGTAGATATTGCATTCAAAATTAGTATATATCAATATATAAAATAGATCGAATCGTTTTCTACCAATCTTGAGAAAGAGATTGATTACATTTATACCTTGTTTATTCTAATATAGCATCATTAAAAATAAAATATTATCAAAATATTTTCTTTTATTGAAAGAACTTATAATAATGGAAAATATTGATGAAAATTTTCTGGACGAGGAAACGATCCATCTAGATCAAGATCGTTTAATTTACTGAAATTCAAACATTTTGTATTAATGGTAAAATTCTTTGTAATCATTGTGAGTGATTCATAACCGATGCAAAGATTTAATAAACGAGGTAGATGAGTAATTTTTGTGAAGAGAAATTGTTCAGCATAATCTATATGTGCCGATTTTAGATTAAGCAGTTTAAGATGAGAAAATGTAATCAATGTTGTAGATGAATATTGCTTGTCCTTTTGTGGTTTACTATTATGTACATCTAACATTTCAAGAAAAGGTAAATCATGAGATATTAGTTGAAAGAATTTATGTTCAAAAGAATGTCCATCAATCATTATCAAGTATCGAACTGTATGAAACATGCCTCCTGGAAAAGAATTATTGATTTCAGGTAAATATTCAAATCCATATGGTAGTGAATAGATATGACATTTAGCTTCGATAATATGTGAATTAATATCTACATATGAACCAACTTGTTGGTATCCTCTTCCATCGAAACTACGTTGAATATCTTCATTCGATGAAAGACTAATTTTAGTCTTACATCTATAGACAAGTGTTTGAATACTAAACGTAAATTCATTATCTTTATATGAAAAAAAAATCAAACTAATCAGATAGATGTTTTGAATTTTAATATTCTTTGTAGAAAAAACTTCCCAAATTAAAACATTTGTCATTCATTGTACGTACTTATACATATTATCATGATATTCATACTCTAGTTTTTCCATTAATTCGTCGAATGATAAATCTTGAAGAATTGAAATTATATTTATTAATAAAAATATTTGACTCAAATTTTATTGATGGTATTCAATTATATGATCAACTTCTTTTTCATATAANACCCCCCTCAGCCAAAAAAAGCCTGGAGGGGGGTACGGGTAAAAGATTTTTTCGGGAAACAAAAATTAATTTTTCTGCTAGTATCTAGCCCCATAATGAGTCGGGCACCCCTCTCAGAAAATTCCTGGGTACGCCCCTGCTCCACTTAATGATTTAATTAGTCAAGAACTTGTAACTTCTATCAATATGTTGAATCCGAATAAACCTAATTTTCTAGAGTCTAAGTTGATAGCCGATAATGACTGACACCAAAATTATTTCATTTGTGTTTGTAATTCGAGAAAATCATTTCAAATAGGCTAAACTATTAACATTTTCTATGAGACTATTGAAATTCTTATTATCTATAATGAATAAAAATCTAGCAGAAGACTGTCCTGAAGCATTGGTCCCCTTGACTCTAACAATATAGGATGGGAGTATTGATACAGGTAAAGATAAGATGCATAAATTTGAAAGTATCATGTCTTATAAAACGTTAGAATCGTAATTCTAATCAAAATTTCGATTCCTCTGATATACAGATCACTGATATAACAGTATATGTAGAGATTTGAAAATATTACAAAGGCAGATGCAGATAATATAAAAACGATGGATCATATGTTTGTCTGATTTTTTTTTACAAATATTCAGATGTAGATGATTGTCTGTGCTTTCGTGTGTACAAGACAGCAATGCATCAACGTTCATACCAAAAGCTAACCAAAGATCTACTTTAAGCTACATCTGCACTTGTACTTACAGTTTTGTTTTTTCATATAGGTTAATATCAAGTGCAACTTTATCTAGATGAAAAATTTTACGAAGAGAGATGCAGAAAATTCATCGCTCTTACCCATGAAAAGCGCGTGAGAATAGTCTTCCTGTTAAAGTGTTGACTTATATACATAGTTCGAATAACATGGTAACTTTCACTAAATCTTAAAAGGTTAGTAAATGATAGCATTTTATTCCGTCTTTCCTAAATAAAATAAGTTCTCACTCAAAAAAAAAAATAGACAATATGATTTGAATTTTCGTTATGAGGAAAATGAATTAAAATCTTTTATTTGAGAACATGCATCTTTGGACTAATCATTTTTAATCATTTTTCTTTCACGCAGTATATGGGCAGCACACTCGATTTGCTTCACTTTTTTAATTTGATACACTCGACACATTCATATGCACGTATGGATCAGATAGATAACATTTCTCTATTCTTACTGCACATTGTGTAAGATGAAAAATGTAAGCATCCTTCTTTCTACATAAAGTGATGAATAATGATGTTTAACATTTTTTTCATTTGTTTTTGTACCATCATCTTATGAAAGTAGAGGAATATGTGGAAATTTGAAAGAAATATCTTATATAGGATTTCCTTGATTATAACAGAAATTCTGTTTCGTCAAGAGAAGCTTGTTGAAGTTTCAATCAACCAAAAAAGCTAATTATATTATAAGCCACGCGTACGTCTCAATGAGAACGAGAGATGATTGATACATACACTATATATAGATTATTTGAGAGAAACCTAAAAATAATCCTCAATTTATGAATGATTTTTTTCGCTCTTCATACAATGATAGACAACTTTTTTGAGAGATCTTATAAATTGAGTTACTTCTCTTTCAATAATTACTCAATAGAACTGAAGTCATACAAATAGAAAATTCAAAATATTGATTACATTTTGATAATTAAAAACTTTCTAAAAGCAAAATATTGATAAAGTAAAATGCCTATTTCATGACAGACAATCGACAAATGTCATGTCAACTATTTGTTATTATTATATAACGAGTAGCTTTTCTTTTCAAAAAACATATTGGAAAGAGTGTGTGGGTGTAAATGGATATGAGTCTGACCTGAATTCACATCTACACTCACCCATACCCTCACTTACATACATGTCACTCTCGATTCACTTCATGTAAGGTGAATCGATAAATTTTTCTTTCTTATTGCTTTCATAATACATATCGGTAAAAGCATTATCGAAATTGGAGTAAAAATAGATGAGAAACTTTAATTTTACTATCAAACCTGAACTTTGTTACAATTATACATTTGCTACAAATAGGAACCAGTCGACAAGGTTTTGAAAATTTGAAAATAGAAAGTTCAAGAACAAAGTTTACTCTAAATTGTTTTTATATTCTAAAATGACGGAGGTGTAAAACTAAAAATGTGAAAATGAAAAAAGATCTGTTAATTCACCATACAGGTCTCTATTGTCTTTTTTTGTTTTGCATTTTAGAAGCGCATAAATATTGTATTTCTCCTGTTAACGGAATGTATCCTGAATTTCTAAGACGGTGAAAAATGCCTCTGCTAGTAATGAACGATTCATTATCATGAGGTTTAACTATGTTTCATTTTCTATTTAATTAAGCAAATGAATTCTCACGTTAAAAAAAAAAAGACTTGAGAAACCAATTTGTAAATATTGTTTCTCTATTTTTGAGGCTATTACTGGGAGTTTATTGCATCCTGATGGACACAGCATATTCTGATATATACTATTTCTTGTTTAAAAAAAAATGACCTAGTTAATTTTATTTTAAATCTTTATTTTTACCGATTGAGTCAGTTTTCTAGTATTTTACATTTTTCTTTTTTTTAAATATCTTACAATTACTTGATTTCATTTTTGCTAATTTTAGAATATCAAATATAAGTCAGTTACACTTAATATTCTCAGTTTATTGAGACCCTTGGTTTTGATTTGAATTCTTCCGAATTGTTTTTGGAATATACATAGTTAAAAAAAAAAATATTGGTCAGAAGACTTATTTTCGTTACGTATCTTCAGTTGAAACATAAATGTTTCATTTCATTGTTATATCATCATTTAGTTTCTTTTTCGATAATGTAAAGATTACTATTATTAATGTTCTAAATACTTTAACTGATGTATAACTGATGAATTCTAGAATGAGAGCATTTCTATACGAAGAACAGCTATGAAAGGAAATATTTTCAGTAAAATTATTTTCTATTTCTTATTAGTGCCACTTTATTTGAAACTTAATGTGACGCTCTTTTATTTGTAAAGAACAGCTACTCGTTCTCGATACTTTTCGATGATACAAATTAACCACAATCTCTTCTTTTTCTTTCTTATACTCGTCCATCATCTCCAACAATTCCACCACAACTTTCATTAATTGTTAAAAATGTTAGTCTTGCAATTGATCTTCGTAGTTATATAGATTAGTTGAAATATTAACTGTATTGCAAAATATTTGGCTTCAGAATAACGATGTTGAATTCAGACGATCAGCTTAATAAGAACAAACTTATTTTGCTTATAATAATGATTAAGATATGATCATATACATTTATTAAAAATCTTTCTGGTCTCAAAATCAATTGAAAGAGGAGAAAAACAAAGTAAATAGTACATGGAGCACTACAAAAGTTTTTTTTCACCCGGTTCTTCTGAAAGCTTCAGTTTCATTTCAAGTATTCCGTTATAATGCGTAGACATATTTAGGATTATGTGAAAAATTTCAGACTTCCAAGTCTTGTACTTTTCTGTGAGCCGTCATTTCTTTTACGTTAATAACATGCCTTTTCTATACGCTACATAACGAGTGACTTAAAATAAATGACAGAATTTTGGATTTCACATTTTGATCCATAAAAACATTTTATTCAAAAAAACGAAAACATACCAGAAGATGCAGCGTGAAAAGCTCTACAGTCTACAATATAAAGCTTATTTTAATCGTGTACTTTTTGTTTCAAAATAAACAATATTCTGAGCGACTAATTCTCGGCGCTGCTGCGAAAAGTACTCCAGAGAATTTTGCTTCTTTTTCAAACTAAAAAGTACACAGTTAAAATAACTTGTTCTTTCTAAATTGTAGAACTTTTCACGCTGCATCTTTCCACATATTCTGTTTTTTTTTCTAAGAAAGCATATTGATTGATAAAAAGATGAAATACGAAAAAAAGAAGTCCTCGTTCGTGTAGAATTTTGGCAGCGTCGAAAATGGAGTGCTCAGAATTTTGCTGTTTTTAAAAACACAAGCTGCACATATAATATAAACTGTTCTTTGAAAATTGTAGAGTTTTTCACGCTGCATATTATGGTGCATTTTGTTTTTTTTTAAATAAAACATATTAGGTGATAAATAAGAAAAAAACGCGTTCGTCGGATACCAAAAGAAAACCATTTTTTGCAACGTCGCAATTTGATTGCTCAGAACTTTGCCGATTTTTAAACACAAAAATTGCTGCCGTAAAATTAGCTGTCCTATATCAACTGTAGAGCTTTTCACGCTGCATCTTCTGGCATATTTTATTTTTTTAATAAAATGATTTTAGGGATCAAAATATGAAATGCAAAGTTCTCCCGTTTGATATTGGTCATCCGTTACCAAGTTGCGTGTACCTACCATAAAAGAAATGACGGTCCACAGAAAAGTACAAGACTTAGAAGTCTGAAATTTTTCACATAATCCTAAATATGTCTACGCATTATAACGGAATACTTGAAATGAAACTGAAGCTTTCAGAAGAACCGGGTGAAAAAACTTTTGTAGTGCCCCACATATATAGATAATATGATTAACGAAAAAGTAATGAATATAACATTAGAATTTGTTTCTCAAACATATCGTGAATTAGGTAATAAATTAATAAAGTAATTACTGTTGAAAACTATCTACTATTTATTCTGTTAATCTAATGATAACAAAAATACGATTACAAGAGAGGAAAATAATTATACAAGTCTTTAGAATGCACTATTGTTTTGTCAATAATTAATTGTTTCACTTGAGCACAATTGCGTCGTGTTGCATCTCTTGTAAAGTTTTTTGTTACAAATCTTAATTCATTATAACCGACCCTTAATTTTGTTAAATGTGGTAAATACGTTTTTGTCTCATTGAGAAACTGCTCGACATAATCAATATGACTCTATCGTAGACAAAGCGAAATAAGATTTGGATATTCAACAATTGAATACAATTCATTATTGTTAGAGACCAAATTGTCTCTCATTTGTGACTCTGATTCAAAATTAATAACACGTAATTGTTTAAGCACAGGAAAAAAGCATGCGATTCGGATAAAAAATTCATGTTTGAACGGAATTTTATCGTATACCGCCAACTCTCTAACACGACTGAAGTCTATTGGTGGAAATGTATTGCCAATATCGTCGAGATAATCAAACGCGAACGGTAGTGAAAAAACATGACATATGACACTACCAATGTTGTAGTTTAGTATACAGCATACTTGTTGATATTCTATGTTGATAAAAGTTCGTTGAATATCTTCATTCAATGAATAATGAGTTAAATGATGTAATTCAACTTCAACACTGATATGAAAAATAAATTTACGAAGACATGAGATATGTACAAGAAATTTATCATTAATTTGAGTACCATCGATAAATGTAGTTCGTTCGTCGTTAATAATATTCAAAGTTAATTCTTCAAGTTTTCTCATACGACGAAGAAGAGGCAAAACTCGAGTATCATATTCACTAGTTGGACAACGACATGTTAATGAGAAACATTTCATATTAGGTAGATCATCCTAAAAACAAATAAATATTTCTAAGTATATTATTATTGATTATAGAAATAAAAGTTTAGACGAATAAATGATTTTTGAAACTTTGCATATACAGAAAATCATCGACTATTGATCAGATAGATAACTCAAATATTTTAAATTGAAAAAAAAAACCATCTAATAATACATAAACTCACTATATTGTAAATAGTTGACAAATCATCTTCCGGACAATCAATGTTAACAATAAATGTAGTCAATTGTTTGAGACGACCATCAAGTAAAGCAAGACAATCTTCAAAGCCACAAACATGAACACATAATTTGTTAAGATTTAATGACAACCACGTAGTCGAAGCTAAATCATCAATAGATAAAAGTTGAACACATCCAATTAGAGAGAAGTGTTTTAAATTTTCAAAAAGTTTCAGCGTATATTCATACACATATTCTGTGTTAGGATTCATTAGTAGCATGTCAGTATCTCTGTGATATACAAGAATAAGATCGGTAATTTGTTCTTGAAAAATACGACGAAATGGTGATTCATCTAAATAAAGAATAATTAGATATTGTTGTACTGTATATAACGTTTCGATTTATATCTATTCTCACATTTCCATTGAAGTTTCTTACCTGTAAAATAATGTGAAACAATATGATCGTTAACATTGTAGAGTTTAAGTTCCGTTAGATTAGGATAATCAGTAGCAAGAAGAATACGTTCCATAGATTCTGATTCAAGAATAAATGATTTAACATTATAATTAATTTTTGGAAGTATACTAATGCAAAATCGATCAAGTATTGAATCAGCAATCGACAAAACATCATCAATTATCGTTGTTAATACAAAATTGAGAGTATTAGTGAATGTTTTTTCTTGTACTATCGTATCAAGCCGTTGATTATCAACATCCAATAATGAATAGAGAACATCCATATTGTTAAGTTTATGTAAAATAATGAGTAATATTTCATTAGGTAGATCAAGAAGACTAACGTTTGACTGATCCATACTGACTGTAACAAACGCTCTGTTTACGATGCATATATACATATATATCTAACCTTTTTTTTTGTATCTGTTTCTATCATCGAACAAAAAAATGAATGGATGACCTCATCAAAAAATTATATAGCGTCGATGGATAGTCCAAAAATTCACTGATAAATATTTTTTCTTTTTCTTCTTAAGAAAACAACCAATTCTACAGAATTGATAAACATTTTTTGTTACAAACAAGTTTATTTCGATTATTTCGTATCATTTTTTCTACGGATGTTGTGTCAGCATTTATATTGATTATCATTTTTTTTTCATTGACAAAGTATTTAGAAAACAAAAGTAGCTAAATATTTTGTTTCCTAACAATTATTCTGTTATTTTTATACATGAATAATGATTGTTGTTTTATTTAGCAGAAAAGATTTACTATAGAAAAAAAAAAAACTTTAACAGAAAAAAGGTTTACAAAAGAAAGAATTTTTCATAACATAACTACCATTATCGAACATTATATTCTTTGTTTTTAAGACGATCTTTTTCTAAAACGTAATATTTAAAACAGTTTAGTTAATCATATTTTTTTACCTTTTCGTTCTAATAACTTCTTTAATTCTTTTGTTTTTCATTAGCTAAGTCGACCTGAACACTGGATACAGATTTTCCTTTTGATCTTATCTTTATAAATGATTAAATAAACAAAATCTTGCAAAATTCTTTTCATTTGAGATTTTTCTTTTTTTTTGGAAAAAAAAACAAAACTCATTTTAATCGACGTCGACGAATAAAAAAGAGTTCCGAGTTGTTATAGACTCCATAATGTTTAATACGACAATTATCATTAATTAATTGTTGATGATCATAATTCTCTAATGCATATCTTTTCCAAATACTTTTCCAATTGATTTTATTATTTGAAAAAGTCTTTTTAATATTTCTTTTTAATTGATATACACGATCTTGTTCTGATATATAAACATTAATTAATGAATTATCAAATCGTCGAATAAATATATTTATAAATTTTTCTTGTTCAAGTTGATTTAATTTAGAAAAGGAAATATTTGAAGGATGACAATTAATATCAGATAATAATGGATCAGAGGATATTATTTTTGATAAACGAGAATATATATTTGAAAGAAATTCTTCATGAGACATTTTGTTTTTATTTATTTATTTTGTTTGAGCTGAATCATAAGATATTTTATCAATTTGTTCTTGTAATTTTTCTTTTATCATTGGAACAGCTGATGTTTGAACAAATAAATGTTGTTCATCTAAATTATGTAAAATAAATTTTTCACCAAAAGCTAATGTTTCATCTAAATAAACTAAATATTGTTTTACAGCTGGATCACATTTAATTAATGAACCTTTAACTACATTAACCATATCTATCTGAAAATATAATATCTACTTTTTATTTTATTAAATTTCTTTCTAAAATCATATCTTCATTTTATTAATAAAACATCAGATGAAATGAATAATATTATTGTGCAAATATTTCCTGACGAAAAGGTAACTCAAAGTAAATCTACCCAATCTAGTCAACATATTCGAATTTTATACTTGAAAATTTTTGTAAATATTTTCAATTTAAACGAAATTTATTTTCTTCAATGCACTTCTCAATTGAGTAACAGATCAGTTTTTTACTATATCTATGAAATCTTAAGAGTCACCTATCTTAATTAATCAAATCATTCTAATCTTGCTGATCAATATTTTGATGATCAACTTGGAAAAAAAAATAAAGAAAAAGCAATAGAAAAAATATAAACTTAGAGTATTTAATTACATCATTTATAGAAAGATTGACGTGAAAAATAAAAAGGCTGAATTCATGATAATTAAATAATTTATGAGAGTATTCGTTATGACATATAAATTGTTTTAAGATTTATCTGAAAAAAAATTTAATTCGTAGATGTTGGGAAATTCAAATTAATCTGAAGAAATTCAATGAAGACTTAGCAAAGTCATAGCTCAACAAATTTATATACAGTTAAAAAGATCATTCTACAGCGGATCTACCAAAAATGTGATTCCTATCGATTATTTATCTATCCTCTTTTTTTTGTAACATACTAAAGAGATTAATAAAAAAAAAATATCTTGAATTAGTCGTTACTTTTTTTTCCATTAGGAGAGAAAAATTCGACAGATGTCTATAAAACTTTACAAGAAAATTATTTTCATCATAATGGCGTTTACATTCATCTTTTACATTATTTTAAATAAGAACAAAATTCTCGAAATCATACAATCATTTTATAGATAAGCAGAAACTATTAAAAGAGTAGTGACTATTCATTTTCTTCTAACATTTATTTTCCTGCAAATCATCATTTGTGATAAAATATATAAATTAGACCAACGAACAAGAGATTGATCTATTGATTCATCAATCACAGTATGGAAAAGAAATACACGAATTTAATAGTCTACTATCTAACGACATCTTTTTCTCTATTAAACTGCAGTGTTTCTAATAAATAACAAGGGTTCACTCACTATGATGACAATGTAGTCAAGAATCTTGCGATGTTTCGTTGACAGTCTATTTCACGCATCGCTCATGAAAACAATGTGCTAAGCAGAGACTTGCTTAGAATAATTGGTACTAGCTTACTATAAACATAGGAAAAATATGATTTGCAGATAGAGCACTGTGCGAGGATGAAGGCAGTATGTTTCAGGTGAACTAGTACCAAAAAAGGACATGAACGAAATGTAAAAAATGATCGAACAAAAATATTGTTAATATTAACGTACTTTAATTAATTGTTTTATCTAGTTAATATTTAATTTTCATAAATTAAAAAAAAAGAACTATAATAATACATATGATAGTCAAAAAATTCTGTCATTTTTGAATATTTATTCATAGAAAAAGCATTTTTCTAAACCTGTTTACAATAAATATTCTAGATAACTTACATGATGTTTAATAGATTTATTTCTGAAAAGTCTTTTGATATTCGTAAATAGATATAGAAATAATTTCATTACTTATTGCTTTATCTAAACTTCTAACATGTTGATATTCATGAAGGCTATGTTTAAGGAAATTAAAAAAACAAAAGTCTGAAAGCTCAAACCTAAGAGGTATATAGTGAATGAATCATAATCTAGATTTTTAATTAAGATTGATAACAGTATCTTGGATATGTGATTTTATAGTTTTTTTATAATGCAAATTTATGCTATTTTTTCTTGTTAATGTTATTTTCGACTAATATCTTCAAGTATTCATCACGATAGAGTTTATGTGCTAACTATGCCTAACATGGTAGTTATATAATCAGTAGTAATACATTGTTCAGCATTCACTAGATCTTTAATAAGATAAACATTTTGTTTAGTAATGGCAATTACTTCGAGTATCATCTTCCAACAACTCTCTCAATTTGAAAGTTGATGAACCCAATGCACAACTGTACAATATAAAACAACACTTTATTCATAAGTAGTAGTTAATTCATTATGAATTTGTTTAGAAGTTAGATCTAATAACAACTCAGTTTTTTGCCTATGAAGTATCCATCTGAAAACAGAGGTGACTAAAAAGTCTACTTAGAATTTGCCTTAATAGACAGTTGTGAAAATTCGTATTGGTGGTTTAATACATAACAAATGCTGTTTCCAGAATAAGCCAACATGAGGAACAAAAACAATGTTGCCATAAATTTTAAAGCACCCAATATGTATATCGAAACAAGAAAAACAAACTCTTGTTAAAATAAATATCGAAAGAAAAACAAACTCTATCTATTATTCCATATTTCATCTATCTATTTTAAATTGACAAATAATCGATGATAATGAATCTATAATAGAACATCTTTTTCTCTTATTATCGATCAATTAACTATATATTTATTTTAATATAAAATTTATTTTTAAACTAATGCTTTCGATATCTATTAAGATAAAAAATTGGATCTTGACTTTTGGCAGAAATGAAATCAATATTCTTTCTTTATATTTAAAAATTCATTTGTAATTGTAATAGTTACAAAAAATTTGATGAGAAATAATAGAACCGGTTTCTTGCATACACGGAATGTACTCGATATAAACAGAGAAATATTGTATAACAAAAAAAGTTATTTACAAAAACAAATGTCATTTATTGATTCGTTTTGTTTGCTTTTTTCGATTATTCGTTGATGATTTTTTTCTAGAATAAAGACAGTGAGCATATGTTAGAGCTAAAAAAGGCACTTACCCTTTTTTTTTGACTAATCGTTTACGCTTTTCTTCATTTAATTCTGCGTCCAATTGTTCGATCAATTCATTTCGCTCTTTCTGTACCGTTTCATTCCATTCTTGTTGAAACTTTTTTAGTCTTTCTTCCCAGTCTTGCATCATTTTTTTGTGCCACTCTTGGATTTTTAACTCCTGTTCTCTTTGTAACGTAATAAACCATTGAGAGTCATCTTCTACATCACTCTGAAGATAGATACACATGAAAAAAATTCTATAATCAAAATGCACATTCATTGGACTTACATTGAGTGAATTATCAGAAATAGAAAGTCGCATAGTTCGACAATTTGTGGTGCATGTTACAGGTAAATTGTAAGTAGGTGATACACTAAGACAAAAAATATTGATTGGTGGCTGTTTGTCATGTCTTGAAGCTGTTGTGACACCTTTAGGTACAACCGATTGATTGTTGACTGGTGAATATCTGTCGTGCATCCCAGATGCTACATGACCTTGAGATGAATTTAATTGATCATTGAGTGTCAGTCTGGAAAAATTTAAAAAAAATTTTTTTTCTTTGTATATGAACAAAAGTCACTTTCAATTTAAATTGATCAACAGGATTAGAGCCTAAATAGAAAACCAAATCCGTTATAGTTCCAATGCATCTATTCAAATAATAAGCTACGGGAAGAAATTTCTCTATTTATATCGATAAG